CCTGTGCCTGCCTTTCTGATAAGCAGCAGTACCCAACGTTTTTCAGAACAATTCCCAGTGATCAGTTCCAGGCTGATGCACTGGCCAAGCTGGTGAAATACTTTGGCTGGACTTGGATTGGTGCTGTTCGTTCTGACTCAGATTATGGAAATAATGGCATGGCATCTTTTCTTGCTGCAGCACAGAGAGAGGGGATCTGTGTGGAGTACTCTGAATCTTTCTTTCGAACAGACCCACATACCAAGATCAGGAGGGTAGCCGATGTTATCCGCAGGTTTCTACACCTTAATTTTATGTATTGTATATTAAAAACATCCTGCAGAAAAAAAATGTGATTATGGAATACTTTTCCAAAATGACTTGGTTATGTTTTTTTGTTTTTTTTAATGTATGTAGTTAGAGCACACCCTTTTTCATAAGCACATTTTTAATGCTTTTCTTAACAATTGGTGACCTTGTACTGATTAGTTCAGGTCAACAAAATATAATGTCTTTGCAGGTCAACAGCTATGGTTGTTGTAGCTTTTACAGCCTCTGGAGATATGGGTGTCCTGCTACAGGAGCTGGCTCGTGAACCTTCACCACCTCGTCAGTGGGTAGGAAGTGAGGGCTGGGTAACTGACCCAAACTATTTGAGCTTCAGTTTTTGTGCAGGAACCATTGGAGTTGGCATTCAGCAGTCTGTCATCCCAGGGCTGAGAGACTTCCTGCTGGATCTCTCTCCCACTGAAGTGGCTGCCTCCTCGGTGCTCACAGAGTTCTGGGAGGATGCATTCAACTGCAGCTTTAAAAAAAGTGATCTTTTAAAGTTATTATTTTAAAAACTGAAAACATCAAATACAACAGGGCATGTAAATGCTAATCCAGCCTTTTATATATGTTGTTTTCAACTTCACCTGCAAAACTGTTATTAAAAAAATGTATACATTAATAAACAGAAATCAAACAGATGCCTCTCGTACACATTTCCCAAAGCACATTTCATTATAGCTGTTATATGAAGAAAAAAAAAATTGCTTGAACAAGTAACAAATGTAGTTTGAAGAAGAAAAAAAAATGCAACAATTTTACCTGATTTGTAAGGAGTTCTCCCAAAATCAGAGATTAAGCTGTTATTTTAAAAAAGTGCATTTTATTCAATATCATGTTAAATATTCTGAATGATTGTTTGCAACACTATACTTAATTAACATGGAAGGAACAATTGCTTTGTTTCGATAAATGTAATGTTGAAATGACTCACAATAATGTAAAGAACATTCTTTGTGATTATTAATTTACACAATTTTACAGTTTTCCTGTTATAAAAAGCCTGGTTTTACTTTTTTTAAGCCACTATGTGCAAAAAAAAAAAATCCAAAGATGCTTTCTAGCCAGAAAAATGTATTCACCAAACTGCATTGAAAATTGACTAAAATGTTGTCTTTAAAATATAAATCTGTCTCTGGCTTTGTTGTTTTATTTCAGTTACTGATATATACAAAAAAGTGTGTGATGGAACTGAAGCTATAAAAACACTTCAAAGCCCGTATACTGAAACATCTCAGCTACGAATTACTAACATGGTGTACAAGGCTGTTTATGCAATAGCTCATGCCATTCACAATGTTGTGTGTGATGAAACACATATTACTACTCAGTGTGACAAAAACACAAGACTGGAGTACAAACAGGTATTTTTTTATTGAAGTTATGCATATTTAAACCATGTCTCTAAATGTTTTACTAGCAATACAGTCCTTTAACCTAAATCAACTATTAAATTACTGGACACTGATATCATCATAATCGCTCTCATAATTCACAGGTTTTGACAGAACTAAAAAAAGTAAACTTTTCCCAAAATGGTTATCCTGTATCATTTGATGCTAATGGGGATCCTGTGGCTTTTTATGAGTTGGTGAACTGGCAGAAGAGTGAGAGTGGAGTTATCAAGCTGGTAACAGTAGGCTACTATGATGCATCACTGCCAAAAGGCCAGGAGTTTAGGATTACCAGGAATCTAACATGGGTGGAAGGTGGCACAGAAGTAAACAAGTCTCAACAAGATCACTATGTGAAAGTGTTTAAAGTGATTGTTTACAGCTGTTTTCAAAATCACTATTTGTTACTTTATCAATCTGTGTGACAGGTTCCAGTGTCAGTGTGCTCAGATAGTTGTCCTCCAGGAACTCATAAAGTGCTGCAGAAAGGAAAACCCATCTGCTGCTATGATTGTATACCATGCCCAGAAGGAGAAATTAGTAATACATCAGGTAAGATCAAATGTTTCCCATCAATTTTTGCATTTTAAAATGTCATAGCAAATAAAAGTTCATGATTTATTTATATTTTTAGATTCTCTTGATTGCTTCAAATGCCCAAGTGAATTATGGCCAAATGAAGAAAGAAATACTTGCTTCCCGAAACCTGAAGAGTTTCTATCCTTTGATGATGTCCTGGCCATTGTGCTAGCTGCATTTTCAATTACTGGGGCCTGTCTGGCCATGATTACAGGAGTTATTTTCTTTTGTCACAGAACAACTCCAATTGTCAGAGCCAACAACTCTGAGCTGAGCTTCCTGCTGCTCTTCTCTCTGACTCTGTGTTTCTTATGTTCATTAACTTTCATTGGAGCTCCCTCTGAGTGGTCCTGCATGCTGCGACACACAGCTTTTGGTATCATCTTTGTTCTTTGTATCTCCTGTGTACTTGGGAAAACTGTAATGGTTTTAATGGCCTTTAAAGCTACACTTCCAGGTAGTAATGCCATGAAATGGTTTGGGCCAACACAGCAAAGAATGACTGTAGTGTCTCTTACATTTATTCAAGTTTTGACATGTACTGTTTGGTTGGTACTAAGCCCTCCTTTCCCTGTAAAAAATCTGGCTACATACAAGGAGAAGATCATCCTGGAATGTGCATTAGGCTCTGCTGTTGGCTTCTGGGCTGTGCTCGGGTACATTGGTCTGCTGGCTGTTTTTTGCTTTGTGTTAGCTGTTCTAGCTCGAAAACTACCTGATAATTTTAATGAAGCCAAGCTGATAACCTTCAGCATGCTGATATTCTGTGCAGTGTGGATCACCTTTATCCCAGCATATGTCAGCTCTCCTGGAAAGTTTACTGTGGCTGTGGAGATATTTGCTATTCTGACCTCCAGTTTTGGACTGATACTATGTATATTTGCTCCAAAGTGTTTCATTATATTATTTCGGCCAGAGAAAAACTCCAAGAAATATTTATTAAAGAAAAACTGATTGTACAATATTAATGGCTTGAAAACAAAAATCATGCATTTTCTCACACAATTACAATAATATGCCATACATTTCCATCCATCCATTTTCTTCAACTTATCCGGTATCGGGTCGCAGGGGTAGCAGCTTAAATAGGGAGGCCCAGACTTCCCTCTACCCAGACACTTGGGCCAGCTCCACCAGGAGAATCCCAAGGTATTCCCAGGCCAGCCGAGAAACATAGTCCTTCCAGCGTGTCCTGGGTCTTCCTCTGGGTCTCCTCCTGGTGGGACGTGCCTAGAACACCTCACCAGGGAGGCGTCCAGGAGGCATCCTAACCAGATGTCCGAGCCACCTCAACTGGCTCCTCTCTATGTGGAGAAGCTGCGGCTCTACTCTGAGTCCCTCCCGGATGACCGAGCTTCTCACTCTATCTCTAAAGGAAAGCCCAGACACCCTGCAGAGAAAACTCATTTTGGCCACCTGTATCCGTGATCTTGCTCTTTCGGTCACAACCCAAAGCTCATAACCATAGATGAGGGTAGGAACGTAGATCGACCGGTATATTGAGAGCTTTGCCTTTTGACTCAGCTCTCTCTTAGCCACAACAGACCGATACATTGCCTGCTTCAATGCCGATGCTGCATCTATCCGCCTATCAATCTCACGCTCCATTTTTCCCTCATTCGTGAACAAGACCCCGAGATACTTGAACTCCTCCACATGGGGCAGGACCTCCTCCCCGACCCGGAGAGAACACTCTACCCTTTTCCGGCTCAAGACCACGGCCTCGTATTTGGAGGAACTGATCCTCATCCCGGCCGCGTCACACTCGGCTGCGAACCGCTCCAGCGAAAGCTGTATATCACGATCTGATGAAGCCAATAGAACCACATTATCTGCTAAAAACAGAGAAGTGATCCTAAGGCCACCAAATCGTATCCCGTCAACACCTTGGCTGCCACCGAGGAGCTTTTTAACCACCTCGGTGACCTCATCACCAGAGATTGGAGAGCCCAACCCAAAGTCCCCAGGCTCTGTTTCCTCAGTGGAAGACATGCCAGTGGGATTGAGGCGGTCTTCGAAGTATTCCGCCCACTCACCCATGACATCCCGAGTTAAGGTCAGCAACATACCACCTCAACTATAAATAGTGTTGGTGGCATACCACTGTGCCCCCTGAGATGCCAGATGGTGGTCCAGAATCGCCTCAAAGCCGTGCAGAAGTCATTTTCCATGGCCTCTCCAAACTCCTTCCACGCCCAGGTTTTTGCCTAAGTGATTACCCAAGCCGCATGCCGCTTGGACTGACGGTACCCATCAGCTGCTTCCGGGGTCCCACAGGCCAAAAAGGCCCAATAGGACTCCTTCTTCAGCCTGACAGCATCCCTCACCGCCGGTGTCCACCACCAGGTTCGAGGGTTACCTCCACAACAGGCACGGAAAACCTTGTAGCCACAGCTCTGATAAGCTGCCTCGACAATAGAGGCGTGGAACATGGCCCACTCTGACTCAATGTCCCCTGCCTCCCCCGGAACATGTTCGTAGCTCTCCCAGAGGTGGGAGTTAAATCTCCGTCTCATAGGAGACCCTGCCAGACGTTCCCAGCAGAACCTCACAATACGTTTGGGTCTGCCAGGTCTGACTGGTCCTTACCATTGGAGCCAACTCACCACCAAGTAGTCATCAGTGGACGGCTCCGCCCCTCTCTTCACCCAAGTGTCCAAGACATGCGGCCACAGATCAGATGAGACGACAAGAAAGTCTATCATCGAATTGCAGCCTTATGCCTGAACATGGTGCTCTTTATGGACAATCCATGATGAGCACAGAAGTCCAACAACAGAACACCACTCAGGTTCAGATCGGGGGGGGGGGGGCATTCCTCCCAACCACACCCCTCCAGGTCTCACTGTCATTGCCCATGTGAGTGTTGAAGTCCCCTAGTAGAACAAGGGAGCCCCCAGGAGGTGCACTCTCCAGTACCCCATCTAAGGACTCCAAAAAGGGTGGGTAATCTAAACTGCCATTTGGTGCATAAGCACAAACAACAGTCAGAACCTGTCCCCCCACACGTAGGTGGAGGGAGGCTACCCTCTCATTCCCCGGGTTGAACCCCAACATACAGGCACCAAGATGGGGGGGCAAGAAGTATTCCCACTCCTGCTCGGCGCCTCTCGCCAGGGGCAACTCCAGAGTGGAAGTGTGTTCAACCCCTCTCAAGGAAACTGGTTCCAGAGCCATGTGTTTAGGTGAGTCCGACTATTTCTAGCCGGAACATCTCAACCTCACACACCAGCTCAGGCTCCTTCTCCACCAGAGAGGTGACATTCCACATCTCAATAGCCAGCTTCTATAGCCGAGGATCAGACCACCAAGGTTCTCCCCCATCCCACATTGCACCCGACCCCTTTGGCCCCTCCCACAGGTGGTGAGCCCATGGGAAGGGGGACCCATGTCTCCTCTTCGGCTGTACCCAGTCGGGCTCCATGGGTAAAAGCCCGGCCACCAGGCGCTCGCCAGCATGCCCCACCTCCAGGCCCGGCTCCAGAGTGAAGCCCCGGTGACCCACGTCCGGGCGAGGGAACATTGATTCCATTTGTTTTGCTCATCATAGGGGTCTGTGGGCTGCACTTTGTCTGGTCCCTCACTTAGGACCTGTCTGCCTTGGGTGACTCTGCTAGGGGCATGAAGCCCCTGACAGCATAGCTCCTAGGATCATTGGGACACTCAAACCCCTCTACCACAGTAAGGTGGCAGCCCAGGGAGGAGGGGTGCCTTATGTTTGTTGCAGAAAATTTAGATTAGTTTTTTGTGAACACTTGGGCTAACCTACAGTATATCATCTATATGCTGGGGTATATTCTCTTTTCTCCTCTCAACTTAGCAAAATAATACAGATTTAATAAAGATAAAACACCAAGCAATTGTACTTATATTCTGTTGTTAAATACTTTACTGTTGTTGTTTATTTTCTTCCTTTTAATTATAACAAGGTTGAGCGGGGGGGGGGGGGGGGGTTCTAGAAACTGCCCTGTATTGGTGCTTAGCTCCCAGTGTTGACAGTAACTTTTAGCTTGAACAACACAGTGAATAATGGCATCAGAAGTATTTGTAAAGTTGGGGGACAAATTGATGGGGGATCTGAGGGTTCTCCCCCAGAAAATTTTGAATAAAGTAGGTGCCATTAACTGCATTCTTGTGTATTTTAATGTTTTTTTTTTAAACATGTACTTTACCTACTTGATTCATTAACTATTTTAGAGAGCATGGCACAACAAGAAGCAACACATGCTTATCACTATAAGGTTTCTCCATAAAAATGTTAAATAGTGGATGTGGGGACCCATAAACCTGCCCCCACAGGACACCAAGGTAACACAGGGAAGACCGGCACCACAGACACACAGTGGCCTCCAAGCCCAGAACTCCGGTAGTCCCCCAACAGGGACACCCACACCCCCCAGAGAGAGAGAAGCAAAGGGAACTGACCTTGAAGTTTGAAACATCCAAACTGCTACGTTGAGATTTAACTTATATCAAAAAGAAGTGTTCCTCCCAGAACTCGTTCCTATGAAGATAACACATTAAGGAACCCTTTGTTTAATGACATTCCCTTTTCAGGAGATGGATAGCGACACCTTTTGGTGAAACATTGCATGTTATTAATTCCAAGATGTCATTTCTGTTTTATTTTATACCTGAATGTTTATTCATGAAAATGTGTGTTTTAAGCAATCTCTCTTTAAGATAATCCTTTGTCTTATTTTTCTCTTTTAAAAGGAACACTTTTAAGGCAGAAAAAAATGACTAGATTTATTTAATAGGCCTTTATAAAAATAAAAAATAAAAAAAAAAGAGTTAGAACCACCCCCTCCTGAGGTGGACCAAAGTCAATCTGTAACACACAGACAGTTAAGTTTCACTTCTTCTACTCTTCACTTCTTCTACTTCTACGACTTCTTCTACACAACACACTTCACTGAGGCTCTGTCTCAGAAGACATCATGGGAGTTTTTAAGAGAAAACTCCAGAGAAACACGCTTCTGTACAGAGAACTGGATAGAAGAAACCCAGTTTCTACACTGAACTCAGAGAGGAGAGAAGCATCCTTTCTGCAGACGTCTCAAAACAAGAGAAAGACACAGAACCTGACCGAACCAGAACCATCACACCGCAGAGTGGTAAATCCCAGCTGACTTCAGAGCCAGTGGCCAGATCTTCGTCCCTCCAACCGATGACAGGTGAACTTTGAGGAAAAATCTCAGTCACTGGAGCGTCTCAGGCCTTGCTGGTACCATTTTAAGCAGCTGTTGGAAACATGCTCTGACATCTCATTCTGGTAGGACAAAGACTCTTTAATGCCTTTCTGGATAAACCTACATCACAACTACAAAAAACTACCGCTCACCTTAGACACAATTTTTAACCACTTCACAAAACAGCAACCAGTCCAAAATTTGCCTTTTATATTTCACTGATTTGAATAATCAATTAGACCTTTGATACAAAACAATTTGTTATTCAGTTAAATTTTGTTATGCATAATTTTCATCACATATATCACAGATTATTATTTTCATAATAAAAATACATAAAATCAACTGATTTTGTGATTATTTTGGCATATCTGTGTGCATTAATTGATTTGATGCCCTTTAAACACGACAGAAGAACTCAAGTTTCAGTTTACATTAATGTGGGGCTAAATAGAGACTGGATTTTCCTCTCCAAGAGAGGTGGTGCCCACACGAGGTTATTTGTATAATAAATGCATATCTTATGAGCTTAACTCATTACTGATAATTATATATATATATATATATATATATCCAGCCCCATATACCCCTACAACACGTATTTCCAAAAGAGGGAGAACATAGTGACCTATGGGAGTGGAAGCAGAAGTATATAAGTAGACTAAATTCTGTGACTTCATCCCATGTAGGAAACCTGAGGGAGATTAAGGACTGTGAGGTTGTGGCAGGGGAGAATGTAGTCAGACAGTATCACATGGTTGT